CCTTTCCCTGCACCCCTCGGATGATCCCAAATCAAACCAGGTCCCTCCCACGGGGGCTTGCCCAGAGCAGGGACCCCTGGGGAAGGAGTGTTGGGGGTGTCCCCACCCCATCACCCGGGTGGGCACATGGCTGGGGTGTCCCTGTCCCCAGGATGGGGCACATGGCTGGGGTGTCCCTGTCCCCCGGGTGGGGGGACATGGCTGGGGTGTCCCTGTCCCCCGGGTGGGGGGACATGGCTGGGGTGTCCCTGTCCCCCGGGTGGGGGGACACGCCCAGGGTCCAGCTCCAAGGGGAGCCCCGTGCAGGCGGGTGACCCAAGATCTTGTGATGGCGTGAAATCACCCCTCCTAGCCATGGAATCACCCACCCTGGGCATGAAATCGCCCCTCCCGGGCACGCCAGGCTGCTGGGGATGGGATCGGGGGACACATCCCCCCCGGCAGTCCCCTCCCAGCCTCGGGTACATAAACCCGGCTGCAGCGCCGCTCCCGCCCGGCTCCAGCACCGACCATGGGCCACCTGCAGCTCTGGCTGCTCGTCCTGGCCGGGATCGCGGGGATCGTGGCCCAGGAGGGTACGGGGGACACCGGGCTGGAGGGACAGGAGCCAGCACGGAGCAGGGCAGGTCCAGGGGGGACGCGGCAGCAGCTCTGGGATCACTCTCGGTCAGCGGGGCTGGAGGACGCTGGAGCAGGGAGTCACCCCGGGGGGGACAGCGGAAGGCTCGGGGACGGTCAGAGAGAGCTGTGGGACACCCCAGCATCCCACCGCGTCCCCTCTGTTGTCCCCAGACCTTTACCGAAAGGTGTTCGTGTTCCGGAAGGATCCCAGCGACGCCTACGTGGTGCTGCGAGCTCGGCTGGAGCAGCCCCTGCACAACTTCACCGTGTGCCTGCGCTCCTACACCGACCTCAGCCGGCCCCACAGCCTCTTCTCCTACGCCACCAAAGCCCAGGACAACGAGATCCTGCTCTTCAAGCCCAAACCCGAGGAGTACCGCTTCTACGTGGGGGGAAAGTTCGTCACCTTCCGCGTCCCCGAGGGTGGCAGGGACTGGGAGCACGTCTGCGCCAGCTGGGAATCCTCCACCGGCATCGCCGAGTTCTGGCTCAACGGGAAGCCCTGGCCGAGGAAGGGGCTGCAGAGGGGCTACGCCGTGGGGGCCACGGCCGCAATCCTGCTGGGGCAGGAGCAGGACAGCTTCGGGGGCGGCTTCGACCCCTACAACTCCTTCTCGGGGGAGCTGACCGACGTCTACCTGTGGGACACGGGGCTGTCCCCGGACAAGATGCGCGCAGCTTTCCTGTCCCTGCGCCTGCCGCCCGCCCTGCTGGCCTGGAAGAGCCTCAGCTACGAGGTGAAGGGAGACGTGGTGGTGAAACCCCGGCTCCGGGAGGCGCTGGGGGCCTGAGGGCTGCGGGGTCTGGGGCGGGGGTGGCCTCGGTGCCCCCCCGTTCCCTCCTCAATCCCATCACTCGCACCCATCTCCCATCACCCAGCACGCCTTCACCGCTACAGCCCCCCACTGCTGGGGACAGGGTCCCCCTGAGTGCCACCAGTCCCCCTCCCATGCCCCCCGAGCTGCCCCACGGCCGCCCCTGCACGGGCAGGACACGGATCCAGCGCTGCCCAGCCCCACATGGAGGCAGGAATGGGAAAGCCCCTCCCTTGGCGACAGAGGAACTGTCCCCAAAGGCCGTCCCCGCGGTCACGCACCATCCCCGCGGTCACGCACCATCCCCGGGCTCATTGCCCAACAGCCCTGCGGCTTGGGGACGAAGGTCAGTGTCACCACGAAAGTCACCGTCACCCTTGGGGGTCCTCTGAGCAGCCTCTGAGCAGCTCCGGGTGGCTCCGAGGTCCCCCCTTCCCACGGTGGTGACAGTGGCCAGGTTCGGCGGTGCCATGGGGCGGTTCTGGCTCTGCCTCCTCATCCTCGCTGCGCTCTTGGGCCCCGCAGGTAGTGGCGAGGGGACACCGGGAGCCACCCGAGGGACGTGGGGCAAGGGGGGCGCAGAGGGGGGCGCAGGGACATGGAGGGGGTTTGTGGGGACAGTGGGGCACCCCGAGTGCTCCAAACGGGTGCGGGCTGGGGGGACCCCACAGCGGCCGTGCAGTGAAAGGGGCACCCCGAGCTCTGCAAGGGGGGCACGGGGGGCACAAAGGGGTGCAGCGGGACCCACAGAAGCTGGGCCATAAAAGGGGCACCCAGAGCTCATCACGGGGTGGCCGTGAAGGGAACAGGGATCTCGGCAAGGCTGGGAGGAGGGGACACGGTGGCAGCACAGTGAGAGCCCAAAGGCACCCCAAGGACCGAAATGGGGGGACAGCAGGGGCAGCAGGGACACGGGGTCCCACAGACAGGGAGACCCCCGGCCCCGGCTGAGCTCTGGGTGCTGCAGAAACAAAGAGGGCCCGGATCTGGACACAGCCGGCAGCACCGACCGTGTACCACCGGCTGATGCTGATCTGCGAAGTCACTGGAGATCCCGGGTAAGGCGCCCCTCCCTCCTCCCTCCCTCCCTCCCTCCCATGCCAGGTGTGCTCCCCCCGAGTGACCCCAGCCCGGTGCAGCCCCCAGGAGTTCCTGTGGGAGAAGGAAGAAAGCCCAGTTCCGCTGCAGAAAGGCCCCCACAACGTCCTGTTCCTCCCCTCCTTCAACGACACCCACCTGGGCACCTACACCTGCACAGCCAGCAGCCCCCAGGGCACGGCCGTGGCCACCTACACCCTGTGGATAAATGGTAGGGATGGCACCGAGGGGACAGCTGGGGACAGGGGCTCCCCACGGCTTGTCCTCAGCACCCCACGTCACCCCGGGCCACAGCCAGTGCTGGTGGCACCTGCCCCGGGGGTTGATGCTGGATGTCACCTCCGGCAATGGCAGGAGCAGCCACCTCTGTGTCGCCTCTCCCAGACCTGCAGCAAAAGGTGTTCGTGTTCCCCCAAGAGTCCCAAACCGCCCACGTGCAGGTGACGGCGAAGCTGGAGCAGCCCCTGCACAACTTCACCGTGTGCCTGAGGTCCTTCACCGACCTCACACGGCCCTACAGCCTCTTCTCCTACGCCACCAAAAAACAGAGCAACGAGATCCTGCTCTTCAAGCCCAAACCCGGCCAGTACGAGCTCGCCGTGGGGAACAAGCTCTTGTTCTTCACGGTGCCCGTAAGTCTCGGGGAGAGCGAGCACGTTTGTGTCAGCTGGGAATCCTCCACCGGCATCGTGGGATTCTGGTTCAACGGGAAGCCGTGGCCGAGGAAGGGGCTGCAGAGGGGCTACACGGTGGGAGTGCCAGCGTCCATCCTGCTGGGGCAGGACCAGGACAGCTTCGGGGGGGGCTTCGAAGCCCAGCAGTCCTTTGTGGGGGAGATTTCATCCGTGTACATGTGGGACACGGGGATCTCCAACTCGGAGGTGTTGTGGGCCATGCACAACAAACCCATCCAAACCCCCATCTTCGGCTGGAGGGACTTCCCCTACAAGATCGTGGGTGACGTGTACCTGAAGCCCTGAGGCTGTGGGGGGTGTCCCCGATCCCTGCTGTGTAACCCCCTCCCCCAAAGCCATCCAACATCACATAAATGGAGAAATGGGTTTTTAGGGTGCTGGTGATCTTTGGGGGCAGGGGAGTGGGCTGACTGCGCGCCTCAGGTGACGGATCCAGGCTCAGAAGCTCCCCAGGGTGAGGGGGGACGGGGGGAAGGGCTCCCAGCTCTGGCTTGGGGACATTGGCTGAGCTGGGGACAGGGCAGTCCTGGGGGGGTATGTGCACCCTTGGTAGCCCCCAGGCACGGTAGGACTGGGCTTGGAGCAGAAGCCAGGGGGCCAGGACTGTTGGGGGGCAGCCCTGGGAGAGCCTGGTGTCCCCAAGCTTGGGGACGTTCACTCCCATGTCCTGGAGCCCCTGGGGGTCAGCCCCAGAACCCCGGGGGCTTCAGCCCCGTCCTTCAATCCATGTCCCCGAGGGGTCAGTCCCACATCCCTGGGGTCCCGCAGCCCCCTGTCCTGGGGGTTCAGCCCCACAGCCCCGGGGGTTCAGCTCCCAGTCCCGCAGCCCCCTGTCCTGGGGGATTCAGCCCCTGTCCCGGGGGTTCAGCCCCCTGTCCTGGGGGATTCAGCCCCTGTCCCGGGGGTTTAGCTCGCTCTCTTGGGGGGTTCAGCCCCCATTTCCGGGGGGTTCAGCCCCCTGTCCCGGGGTTCAGCTCGCTGTCCCAGGGTCCCACAGCCCCCTGTCCTGGGGGATTCAGCCCCGGTGGGCTCAGCCCCCTGTCCCAGAGGGTTCAGCTCGCTGTCCCAGGGTCCCGTAGCCCCCTGTCTCGGGGGGTTCAGCACCCTGTCCTGCAGCCCCCTGTCCCAGAGGGTTCAGCTCGCTGTCCCGGAGGTTCAGCCCGTGTTCCACTGCCCCTGTCCCGGGGGTTCAGCCCCGTGCCCCGGGGGTTTCAGCCCCAGGAGGTTCAGTCCCTGTCCCGGAGGCTCAGCCCGTGTCCCACAGCCCCGTGTCCCGGGGGTTTCAGCCCCAGGAGGCTCAGCCCCACAGCCCCGGGGGGCTCAGCCCGTGTCCCACAGCCCCGTGTCCCGGCGCGGCTCCGCAGCCGCGGGCGGCCCGGCCGGCCCTT